AAGCTTAAAGTAAAGAAAGACTTGCTAAAAGTAGCAAAACAGTAGCCAAAAGTAGCTGAATGGTAGCTAAAAGTAGCCAAAACAAACAAACAAAAAAACAAATAAAAAAGCAAAAGGCTAGCTAAAAGTCGAATGTAGAAAAGGGTTGGAGCTAAAAGTTGCAACATTTTCACTAAAAGTAGTAAAACTCTAGCTAATTGCCAACAGTAACAAAAGGCAAGCATTAAGCTAAAAGTAGCAAAAAGCTACTAAAAGTAGAAGAGCCAAAATAAACAGAACACTAGCCAAACAGCTAAAAGTTACAAAAGGTAAGATAAAAGAAGCAAAACTATTGTTAATAGCACCAAAAGAGTAGCTTAGAAGCTTAAAGTAAAGAAAGACTTGCTAAAAGTAGCAAAACAGTAGCCAAAAGTAGCTGAATGGTAGCTAAAAGTAGCCAAAACAAACAAACAAACAAAAAATAAAAATACAAAAGCAAAAGGCTAGCTAAAAGTCAAATGTAGAAAAGAGTTAACTAAAAGTTGCATCGTGTTCACTAAAAGTAGTAGCACTCTAGCTAATCGCCAAAAGTAACAAAAGGCTAGCATTAAGCTAAAAATAAACAGTAGCTAAAAGTATAAAAAAATAAACAAATTAATAAAGCAAAAGGCTAGCTAAAAGTCGAATGTAGAAAAGGGTTGGAGCTAAAAGTTGCAACATGTTCACTAAAAGTAGTAAAACTTTAGCTAATTGCCAACAATAACAAAAGGCAAGCATTAAGCTAAAAGTAGCAAAAAGCTACTAAAAGTAGAAGAGCCAAAATAAACAGAACACTAGCCAAACAGCTAAAAGTTTCAAAAGGTAAGATAAAAGAAGCAAAACTATTGTTAATAGCACCAAAAGAGTAGCTTAGAAGCTTAAAGTAAAGAAAGACTTGCTAAAAGTAGCAAAACTGTATCTGAGTTGTAGCTGAAAGTAGCATCTAACAGCTAAATGTGGCTTAAGAAAACAAAGATAGAAGTATTTAAGAGTGGTTTTCAAAGAGAACAATGTTTTTGAATGAACTGGAGGGATCCTGATGTATTTGTATAGGAAAAATATTTGTAAAAATATATAAAGTAAATGTTAGAAAAAACAAAAGCATATGTCGCCTGAATGAGCTGAAGGTTTTGATTAGCTGAAACAGCAGAAAGTATGCAGATGCAGATTGCAAAGGACTTGCTGGGAAATAAAAATACGCTGACTCAACATTGCCACAATAATCCTTAGTAAAGTCTCTATAATCAATTTTTATAATAAGTTGCTTGACCTTAAAGAGACGTAAAGGTCAAACATCTGGAGGCTTTTGGTGCGTTTGTTCGAACCCTGACGTCAGCTGAGACGGTGCAGCTCTGATGATGTGCAGCTGTAATTTATGGACTTCTACAGCCGGCACCGGGCGCTGCAGCCATATTTCAAACCAGTGCGAGTCTGAACCCCCTGCAGCTGGAAGGGTTCCTTACATGGTGCCGAGAGCTTTCTGCACGGTGCGTTTTTTAAAACACTGAAGTTTCTTGTTCTGTGATTAAACTAACACATCTGTAAACGGTTGTAAAGAACTCTGCTGCTGGTTCGTTCCTAAATATCAGCTGCTGGAGTTCACTTGCTATTTTTTATTTATTTTTTATCCATTCTAGGTCCAATTTAAATACTTCTGTAGTTTCCTGTTTAAAGAAAACAGAATGTCACGCATGAGCGTACAGAAAAATAGTTGTTTTGTTTTAGTGGTGGGGATGTTGGAAAATAAAAGTGATGAAGTTGCTGCAGGGTGCGCTGCGGTGCATCAGGTGGGTGCTTCTAAATTAATGTTTAAATATTAATAGCAGCAGCTTTGTCTAAATTACTGGTACGTTTATAAAATAGGTGCTCTCAGGTTTGCCTTCACACTTGATTTTTGTTAATAAAACATTCCAGATTTACTGTAAACTAATATTTATATTAAATGTATAAAAGTCTTAAAGGCCAGATTGAAAACAAATGCACATTTTTTTCCTCATATTGATCAGTAACAAGTTATTAAATTAGGCTAAAATGTTTGGGCAGCTTCCACTTCCACATGTTTCCACATGTTTGGATCGATGGATGGAAAAGTCTAAAATTTGATGCATCAGTATATATATATTTTTTTACTTTTGATTAGTTAAGTATGCAGATTTAAGTGCTTTGTTTACATTTAGTGCCTACCTGCTGTTCAGAATTTGATATCAACTTATCTGGAAAACTCCTTGACTAAACTCTTTATTTAAAGTTTAAACTGTTTCCATCTGATCTGGGAGCAGTTTGTTTTTCCTTGCAGCAGCTCTGTACCAGCTCTTGCAGCAGCTCTTGCAGCAGCCCTTGCAGCAGCCCTTACAGCAGCTCTTGCAGCAGCTCTGTACCAGCTCTTGCAGCAGCCCTTGCAGCAGCTCTTGCAGCAGCTCTGTACCAGCTCTTGCAGCAGCTCTTGCAGCAGCTCTGTACCAGCTCTTGCAGCAGCCCTTACAGCAGCTCTTGCAGCAGCCCTTGCAGCAGCTCTTGCAGCAGCTCTGTACCAGCTCTTGCAGCAGCCCTTGCAGCAGCTCTTGCAGCAGCTCTTGCAGCAGCTCTTGCAGCAGCCCTTGCAGCAGCTCTGTACCAGCTCTTGCAGCAGCTCTGTACCAGCTCTTGCAGCAGCTCTGTACCAGCTCTTGCAGCAGCTCTTGCAGCAGCCCTTACAGCAGCTCTTGCAGCAGCTCTTGCAGCAGCTCTGTACCAGCTCTTGCAGCAGCTCTTGCAGCAGCCCTTGCAGCAGCTCTTGCAGCAGCCCTTGCAGCAGCTCTTGCAGCAGCTCTGTACCAGCTGCTTGCTTTTCGACAGACTGAACTCAGATCTGCTGCAGTTTCTGACTGAACGGACACGTCCCATTTCACCTGAACGCCTCGTTCCTCTTTCAGAGAGCTGGTGTCACCTGAACATGGCAGCATCAACCGGAGGTCTGACCTCCGTCCATCATTCCTGCGTCTCGTTCCACCTCAGTGGGACATTTCTCCTCTCAACGTGGAGCAGGTTCCAGTTTCTGCCTCAGCTCTGCGGGACGTTCGATTCCCCGTCAGAGATGCTAATTGCTGCCATGTGCCTTTCCTTCGTGCTGCCGTCGTCACAGATGACGTCTGCGCTCACAGCCGGTCTCCTGATCTGAGCCAGTTAGTCACATGTTTGTGGGTTTAGGAAGGATTTGTCAGGTCAGCCGCAGAAACGGCTTTTTCTGTTTGACAGATCCACTGCCGGTTTAGTGTCACTTGGGTCTGCTTCATTTATTTCCCGCAGCTTAAATCAGACGGCTCCCCTCGCTGCTCGCTTCATTTATTTATGTTACCAAGTTACCCCCCCCCCCCCCCCGGACGGGATTTATGTCCCTGAAAGATGTACATCTTGTCATTTGTCAGCTTCATTTCTTACAAAAAATAAAAATTAAATCAGACACAGGAAGAAATCTCATTTAGGAACTTGGACTTTTGATGGAGTGGAGCTTCAAAATGTGTAAAAGACTAAAAGTAAAACCATCAAAAGGTACTGACGAGCCGATTGGTTTTAGTTAAAGCTTTGAATTAATAAAAAAAAAAAAAAAAAAAAATCAGGGTCTCCACAATGAGTCGTCGTCCTCCGTCTCACTCTGTCCTCACTCCAACTCCCTCCATGTCCTCTCTAAATGCATCCATGTGTCTCCTCTTTGTCTTTTTCCTGGCAGCTGCATTTCTAACATCCTTCTACCAGTATACCCACTGTCCCTCCTCTGGACATGTCCAAACCACTGTCCCTCCTCTGGACATGTCCAAACCACTGTCCCTCCTCTGGACATGTCCAAACCATCTCAGTCTGGTTTCTCTAACTTTATCTCCCAGTTGTTCAACTTGTGCTGTACCTCTGAAGATCTCCTTCCTAATCTTCTCCATCCTTGTCTCTCCTAAGAAGAACCTCAACATCTTCATTTCTGCCTCTTCCAGTTCTGTCTCCTGTCTTCTTGTCCATGTCTCTGTCTCCAGATCATACGACATCTCACCACTGTCTTGTAAACTTTTCCTTTGACCTTTGCTGACACTCTTTTGTCTTAAATCACTCCTGAAACTTCTCTCCATCCACTCCATCCTGCCTGGACTCTCTCCTCCACCTCTTTACCACACTCCCCATCTTCCTGGACAGTGGACCCCCGGGGGTCTTGGTGCTCAGGCTGAGAGGTTTGAGCTCTGAGCTGTAATGATGCTGCACTTTTCCAGTCTGGATGACACACAGACTTTTTTTGTCCTCCACCTTTAAAACTTTTTCCTGTCACTCTATAAACGGTTTGGGTGGAGTTGAACTCTTCTATTAATTACTCTCAGTGAGTCATCTCTACTTTATTTTCTTTACAGTCACTTCTCAAAAGAAATATTTGGCGTTCTTCTCTGAAAGTCTGTAAGAAAGAGTCAAACTCCTCCTGCCTGGTTTTCCCCGGAGCTTAGAACCCAATTCCAAAAATTATTTCCAGCTCCGGGTTTTGGATTCAGATGCTCTTCGCTCTGTGAGGAAATCTGCTGATGGGACTTTTGTTTGTTGATTTATCACTTGAGGACGGATCAGTCAGCAGGTTCTGATGGGGTTTGTTGCTCTGCGAGAGGTGCAGCTGATAACGTTTTGGGTCTCAGTTGTGTGCACATCCCATCACGCTCACACGTGCAGCAAACTTCACCATGCATCATGTGATGCGTCGGCGTGTTCGCCCTCATTCTTGTTTGTTTTGACGAGTTAACCTGCAGCTTTTCTCTTTAAATATAAATTTATTTCAGAGCAAATCCACATGTTCTTTCTTTTAATGTATTATATTAAATAAAATTGTTAAAATGTTGTTTCTGCACTTCTTTTATTGACCTGGAGTGACTCTTAAAACCAAGTTCTGTATTCTTGGAAAGCCTAAATTTGAATTTATCGGCCTGGACATGAATATTCTGTGTGCCCGTGGATGTAAACACTTTCTTCTTCTCATGCAGGTGACATCACGCAGAAGGGCTATGAGAAGAAGAGATCCAAGCTGATCGGAGCATACTTCCCTCAGACACAAGGTAAATTGGACTTTTCCTTCACCTTCAGTGCTGGAGAATATAAATCAGAACCACGCATCTCAACAGATTAATATAATTTAGATTAAAGTTTTGTCTCTTTAGAGAACTCCTCAAATAAAGCCCGAATATTAAACATTAAACCTATCAACATAATGAGAATATTTGTTGTTTTATGCCAAGTAATAATATAAAGCAGATGGTTTCTCACTGTTTATCCCTTGAAGATGGTGAATTAAAGCAGCCGTTCATTTGTTTTTGATGTGAGGGTTCTATGGAAACATTATGAACAATTCATATGTTACCTGCTGTAGGTGGCTCTTTGGTTTAGAAAACAGTTTGATTCCGACTGATCAACGGTGTAGAGCCAAGACCAGAATGGCTCACTGTCAGTTTTACATTAACAACACGTTCTGTTTTGCTCTTTCATCTGAAAATTCACCACTAAATGGACCGAGTCCATCACGAATAAAGAACAGAAAGATTTTAAACGGTTGACCTTAACCTACTGACATTTATTTTACCTAAAAATGGAATTAAATACATACATTTTCCATGAACGAGCAACAACCAAAGCGAGATTTAGTTAAAAATTAAAGAAAACATCACTAAAGTTCTGCGGGATGTTTTTTTTTAAATAAAATTTATTATTATATGTGTTTGATGCCATTATTGCGAGTCAGACGTTTGCAACCAAATATATATTTTGAATTCGGTTGATCCATTTCTACACTTTTGATCACCTAAAATGTTAACAAAAGAGGCCTTCTTTAAATTTGTCTAACAGACGTAGGAGTAAAAACCAGGCGGATTTATTGTTTCATAAACATATTTATTTTTGAAACCAAATGTTTTCAGTGATATGAATGTACGGTGACATTAGATGTGGTAAGGACTGTTTACATCTAAAACCAAATCCCAAATCCCTGAACTGATGTTTTTAAAAAGTCAAATATATTTATAAAATACATTTAAAACAGCGGCTGTTTCCAAAGTGCTTAACAATAAAATGAAGGCAGTCAATAAAAATAAAAGCATAAAAAAAAACCGTAAAAACGAGAAACAATAAAATGGTAAATCACATCACATTTAAGCAATCGTTTGTAGCTGCTTGTTTTGTAATCTGCTTTTAGAGCCACTTTACTAAGAATAGAAGTTACGTCAGCGAGCTGAGATTGTGTAACTCACCCAGCAGCGAGTTACACAACAGCAGAAGTTTCTTGCAATTAAACACCTGTTGAGTCGGTACGAAACCACAGAAACGCGAGCGTTGAACTCCGCTTCAGTGTAAACAGCCGTCCTGTTTCTGCACCTTCAAGTCCGGACTGTCCCGTTTTGAAAAGCTGCAACAGTTTATCCAACTTCAACATCCGAAGCAGCCGATCAATGCGGATGAAGGCTGGCACTCTTACTGTAAACCAGCTAGAGGTCGGCCAAAATGAACCTGCTGATTCGGATTCTTTGCAGTCTCCCGTCAGCGTCCATCACGGAGGAATGAAATAAAAGTCGGCAGCTGTGACCGAGTCAGGAGTTCTGCACGGCGGCCAAAAGATTCCTGCGCCGTCATTACCGGCACTGGAACAGGAAGCGTGATAAATTGGGGGATTCTTTTGCGTTTATAAATGTTTATAACGTTCTGGCTGCATAAACAGCTTAAAAACAAGTCTGTTTGTCCTCCTGCGGCTTGTTTTGTGCTTCATTCCACTGATGATGTTTGAGGAGTGAAGCCAGCGTGCAGTGGAACGTTACCAGCACGGCTCCGCTGTTTCTCAGCACTCGCTTGAATTTGCTGAGGGGCTCTCTCAACGAGGGGAAACTGAAGAAGTAAATTGGAGTTTTGTGCATTTGATAAATCACCACCAGCTGAGTAGTTTTGTTAATGCACCACAGATGGATTCCTCTGAGTGTTTGTGCACGAAACGATCTAAAAGTCCAGTTTGTACAAGGACTTTTTGACTCCAGAGGATGAGGCACTGGAGATCAGTATGGCACTGTAAAAGGCTATTACTGGAAAACACTTCTCTTTCTGTGTGTGCTCTCTTAGGCTTTGGTTGACATTTAGAAGTGCATTATGGGAAGGAATAAGGAGTATGAGATGGAGAATCTGTTTGGTATTCACATTTAAGCCCAGCTGGGGGTCTTGGGGTTCCTCAATCACGTCATAAAACATTACAAATAATTCTTGGAGACTTTTTCTTAAGCAGTTTTCATGAAAACAATTCCCTAAACCTAATCATAACTTTTAAATTTAATAATGTAGTTTGAGACCGTATTTTTAGCCCCTAATAACATCTGACACTAAGAACACGAGGACCAGAAGTGTTCATACGAAGAGTCGAAATATCCTGAAGCTTCATTCCTTTCAAGTCATGTAATGTACTTTGTCAAACACCAGCAACACACTCGTACAAACACACAATACCCTCCTTATTCTGCTTGTGAATTTTTTTACACACAATACAATACTCTCTCTCTTCCTCCCAGACACACGCACTCGTAAAAATATTCTAGTTTTCTCCACTTTAATGTAATTCTGCACCAAGTTCCTTGATTCTTAGTAACAAAGTTAGACTGTTTCATTTAAAATAAGCATGTAGCTGTAAAAAGGAGCACATTTTCCTCAGTGACGGTGATCTGCACATAATGGAATACAATAGAATAGGATCACCTTTACTGTCATCGTTTAGCTTTTATACACAACCAGACAGACGGGAGTGTCCTTCTATTCTGATGTATCTGCAACGTCTTTCAAAAATAGTGCAACAAATATTGATGGTGGTGGTAGTATCATGGTTTGGACCTGTTTTGTTGCATCTGGGCCAGGGAAATTCGTCTTCATGGATGGAACAATGAATTCTGAATGATCAAATAATTCCAAATGAAAATGTCAGAACATCTGTCCATGAACTGAATCTCAAGAGAAGGTGGGTCATGCAGCAAGGCAACGACCCTCAGCACACAAGTGGTTCTACCAAAGAATGGTTCAAGAAGAATAAAGTTCATGTTTTGGAATGGCCAAGTCAAAGACCTGACCTTAATCCAACCCAGATGTTGTCGAAGGACCTGAAGCAGCAGTTAATGTGAGGAAACCCACCAACATCCCAGAGTTGAAGCTGTTCTGTACAGAGGAATGGGCTAAAATTCCTCCAAGCTGGTGAGCAGGACTGATCAAGAGTTACTGGAAATGTTTATTTGCAGTTATTGCTGCACGGGGGGGTCACACCATATACTGTAATGAAAGCAAAGGTTCACATACTTTTGCCACTCATATGTAATATTGGATCATTTTCCTCTATAAATAAACGACCAAGTATAATATTTTTGATTCATTTGGTTAACTGGGTTCTCTTTATCTACTTTTGGGACTTGTGTGAAAGTCTGATGATGCTTTAGTTCATATTTATACAGAAATATGGAAAATTCTAAAGCGTTCACAAACTTTCAAGCACCACTGGAAGTGGTCAGGTTTATATTGCTTAATAAAGATTTATCACTTGAGCTCTGTTTTTTCTGTTTACATCAGCCAAAAGTAGCTGAAAACTAGTTTTAATAATGCACAAAATAAGGAATTTCCACTTGCAGCATAAAAGTTTGAGCTTTCTGACTGCCACCATCTTTGACCTTATTCTTTTTGTTTTAAATGACAGTTATTCTGCAGGCAAACAAAACAGGTCTTTGAAATCACTGTCTTGTTGAAACTTTAAACACTGTGCATGTTCGAAGTAAGTTTGGTGGTCTTCGTCTTGGTGACCGTGCAGAAAGATGCCACTCAAAACCTTTGTTTTTACTGCTGAAACAGATTTGTACCAATGGAATACTTTAAGCTATCCTAAGACTTTGTAGTTTTGCAAACTGTTTAGTCAAACCTGTTTTCTTACATTTGCCTAACACAACTCGGAACGGAGTGCATCATTCACCTAGTAAAAAAAATGCTTTGCTCTCATACTGTGGTATGTATATGTTGTTCTTGCAATTCTTGTAAAACCACAAAGTGGTAAAATAAAACTTTCCATGTACTGAAAATTCTTCCTGTTCAAGCTCCTCCTCCTCCTGAAACCTTGCAATGCCCTCCCTCCCATATCTGTATATGTTCAGGTGCGTTTGAGCTCCTTCATTCAGTCCTTATCTCTCAGTTATGAAATAACAGCTCTTCACAGAGAGAACGATGGCAGGGATTCACCTCGAACGAGAAGTATTCTGCTGCTCGGTATGCTCAAACCTTCTTACTAATCCAATGGCCATACCTTGTGGCCACTGCTTCTGCATGAGCTGCATCAACGATCACTTGGATCAAGAGGATCATGTGGGGATCTACAGCTGCCCTCGGTGCAGAGAGATTTTTGTAAAGAGACCTGTGCTGGTTAAAAATACCATGATAGCTGTTGTAGTGGATGAGCTGAGGAAGACTGAAGTCCAAACTCCTCTGAAGTTGTTTAAGTCTGAAGTCCAAGCTCCTTTGAAGCCAAAGAAGTCTCCAGGTCCACCTCCTGTGCTACCAAAGAAGCATTTAGTCCAAGCTCCTGCAGAGGTAACAAAGCCTTTTGTCCAAGAGCTCGTATCTGTTGACGATTGCTATGCTCGACCTGAAGATGTAGCCTGTGATGTTTGCTCTGAGAGAAAGTTCAAAGCTGTCAAATCCTGTCTTCAGTGTTTGGTTTCTTATTGTGGGACTCATCTCCAACCTCACAATAACGTGCCCCCCTTGAGGAAGCACAAGTTGGTGGAAGCAACTGCAGAT